CCGCAAAGCAGGGGAGGATCATGGATCTGGAGAATGCCAGGGCATGCGAGCAGGAAGGATCTCAGAGACCAAGGGAGCCAATAGGGAAATAGGACCCAGAGAGGAGTCGTGGCTTGTCCAAGGTCACACAGCAAATTGGAGGCTGAGTAGTTGACATCCGTCTGGGGGGAGGCTTTTATCCAATAGAGCAGGACCTGTGGTAGCCCCAGCAGCCAGATGACAGAGACAGGAGGAGAAAGACATAAGAAAACTCCCCATGATGCCCGTTAGAGTCCACAGAGAACTTGACTGCCCTTCCTCAAATATTTCTAATGTGGACCATCAAGGGCTCCAACTTCAGATACCAGAGCTTCCAGGACTGACTGTTCTCCCCAGACGTGGGAGCTGGAAATGGGTGAGGCCCAAGGGAGATGGAAAGGGCACCTGAGTAGAAGAGGAAACCCTGCTCAGAAGGAAGGAGAAATTCATCTGTAAAGTCAAGTGCAAAGGACATCCACTGGGTCCGTGGCAACCCCTCAGACTGTTTCTCCCAGGTGCAGCAATACTGATTTACACCCCATTAGGTATTTGACCGCTGGCCCAGAGCATAAGGGAAGGGGCCGGGAGAAGAGAGTGGGTCACCATTCAGGGTGGAAGGCAATGAGAAAACAGGATTCTACTTACAAGCTGCAAGCCATCCTCTAGTCACAATTCCCCCCCTTGGTTTATTCTGGAATCACTTGCTATAGAAAGCAAGATGTGTTTGGAGACCGCACCATCTTGAGCTCTCAGATGCAAGACATACTCATGTCAAAAGTCACTAATGGGTCTCTGTCGTCTGTTTTCTAATTATGATACGTTAAATGTCCCTGGGCTGGGCCTCATCTATTGGGCTGTCGGAAAAGTCACGACGCGTTTTTGCAATGAAAAACGTAGAAAAAATACGTCGTGACTTTTCCAACAACCCAATGTAACAGTTACTAACGTTTTCTAGAACTCACTATATGCCAGAAACTGTGCTGACCCCCTTACATGCATCATCTTATTCAGTTCTCACTTCTACCCTCTCATGTGTATATTAGGATTTTCCTCCGTTGTACAGGAGAGGAAATTGAGGCCCAAAGGTCACACAGCAGCTCCATGGCAAAGCCAGGTCTAGAGCTACATGCCTCATTTGGAAGGTCAGGTCTTAGCCTTGACACCTGACAGACTTTAATAAACTTACGACTCTGGGGATGTCCATCCCCTCTCAGTTCTTTTTTGTTCGGATCCAGTAAGTGAGGCAGCTGGGTAATATCTCTCAGGATCTTTGTTAACTCTGACTGTCTGTAATTCCTCTTAGTGGACCCTAGGCATTCAGAGTTGGATCGTCAAGCTTCTCCCAACTGCTGACATAGGTGTGAGATGGACTCCCTTTCTTTTCCTGACTCTAATCCTTGACACTTAGAAGCAAAAGATAACCAAGTGGGGATATTAACAAACTCACCTAACACAGCCAACTGGTCAACCCTGGGGCACACGCTCCGCCTGGCAGGCAAACACCCTTGGTCTTTGGGAAGTAGGTGATAGGGACAATGGAATCTCCTCCTTTTACCTGATGAGGACTTCTTGCCCATGGGTCGGGATGTCAGCTTCCACCTTCCCCCAGACGTTCAGCACCAACTGCCACTCCCCGTCGCTGAGCCCCATGGTGTAGTCTGAAGAAGACAGAGAGAGCGAGTGTGGGTTGACTGGGTGTCCTGACCCTGACAGCTGGGGTTTGAGGCTGCCTGGTCCCCAAGGAGTTTTATACCTTCCCTGATGCTTGACACAGATCACTTGACAGCTTGCTCACTCCCCCCGCCCTTTGTGCAGGGGTCTAATCTTTTCCTTTCTCTAGCCCTCACATGGAAGCTATTTTGGGGCAGGTGCCATTGTGGGGAGGTAGGACAACTCAGGCCACAGGGAGGTGGGGGTGGTTGTGTGTGTGGAAAGAGTGGGGAGGAGGTTGGGCCACTGTCTGGAGTCAAAAAGGCCAATAGAAAGGGCACCACCGAGGCGGTTCGCCAGCAGCCTGAAACCCAATTCCCCCCCGCTGTCAGCCATCCCCCCCAGAGGAACTGTCATGTTTCTAAGCTTGGGCAGCAGGTGCCCTGGGCTGGCCCTGGGGCAGTCCTAGCCCTGAGCTGGCTCCACATCCACATTCTGCCCACTCTGTTAGAGTGCCCCTCGCCCAGCCAGCAGTGGTGGGGAGGAGCCGAGATGATCTCCTGCTTGTAGCTGGGTGAACCTCGGCCAATCCATAACCTTTTTGAGCCTGAATTTTTCCCACTCTACCCAGACAACTCCTGGCTCAAATAGTTCCCTCTGAAAAGTTTTGCTTGATGTACCCCCTCAAGGCCCAATTAATTGCTTCCTCCTTCCATTTATTTGTATATGGTCCTAGTGTATTGCTTGCCTCACTGCATGGTGTTTCTTTGATTCCATTCGGGCCCCTCCATTTGTACCATAGCAGCCAATACAGAGACTTTACTGGGTGCCAGACCCTAGTCCAGCACTTGACGTTTGGTACCTCATTTAATTTCCCCCAATAGCCCCATGTGAGAGATACTGACATTATCCCCACTTAATCAAGGGGAAGTTAGGGAAAGTTGCTGTGGTCGCACAAGTAATCGATGGAAGAGCTGGAATTTGAACCCAGAAAGTCNCACTTAACTGTTTGCAGGCTCAGGCTTTCTAATAGCTCCCGTACCTTAAAAGGTTCCTCTTTTGCAGCTTCCTGGCTCTGCAATACCCTTCAACCTGACTGTGGACACGCTCCAGTTTGCGTAAGTGTCTTGCAGCTCACAGCTGTACTCATCATACGCACGCACACTCAGACACACGCACACACAAGCATGCACCACATAGCTGGACAGAGAACACCCAGGGCTATCCATAGCCATGCCCAGTGTCACCACCTCACCCTGGGGCCCTGGCCAAGCCTTGTGTGTCACTGACAGCTTATCTCTGGCACCTTTCACCCAAGGGTCCCTGAGCTCCTGGCTATTATTATCTAGTGACAACGATCCTTGAACTCCTGCCTGACAGATGAGAGAACTAGCACCCACAGGTGAAGACCCGAGGTCGGGACTTCTGGGAAGGAATTGGAAGGAGACCAGCTGGGGCAGAATAGGACCGAGGACCTGGGACCCAAGGGAGCCAGGGATCTCAGGCATTATGGGAGTCCCCCAGGTGTCTGGGGGGAAAAAACCAAAATATGGGACTGAGAATTACAGAAGCTGAGTTCTGACCCTAGCTTTGTCTCCAATGTGCTGTGTGACATTAAAGAAGCCACTCAACCTCTCTGGGTCTTGGTTCACCCACCTGTAAACCCAAAGGATTGGTCTAGATGATTTCTCAGCCTCCAAAAATAAGGCATGACCCCCGCCTCACCCTTGACTGTAAGTGCAAGTCAGCCACAGAAGGACCCCAGATTTATTTTAAATTCAGGAGAGTTGGGCAAATAAGTGCCCCCACAGATCGTTCTGAATCACGCAGCTGCCTTCCTCTCTAGGCTTCAAGTGCTCTAGCTGGGAGTCCCCAGAGGTTATCTCTGGGAGAGCCAGGGATAAACTGTCAGTAGTGACAGGAGGCTGTACCCAGATTTTCTTGACAGTAGCAACCCCCAAAATGAGCCGACAAAGCCCCTCACACTGTGAAAATGGGTGCAGGCATTTGCTCTAGTGTTTTAGAAATGCCCCTTTGCCTTGCGTTGTCATCTTCAGTCCTACTGTCAACTTGCCTAGTTTATCACAGGTCTACAGGCAAGTCAGAGAGAAAGGAGACCATTTTCCAGCTGTCCTCTGAACTGACACCAATCGGACTCCCACAGAGAAGACTGAGGACTCTCTCAGAACTGCAAAAATCCTCCTCTGCTCTAGACCCCAAGAACCAGAGTGAGTGAGGATGGGAACTCATCACTAATGTGCCAAGATTGTGGGGCAATATGGCACAGTGGTCAAGAGCAGATGTGCTGGATCCAAGCTCGTTGGGTTTGCGTTCCAGCTGTGTGACTTTGGGCAAGTTACTTAACCTCTCTGATGATGATAATGAGACTATCTCCCTTATTGGGTTGTTGCGAGGCTTAAATAAGTGAATATACGTGAAATACTTAATGCAGGGCCTGGTAATCAGGGTGTACTGTGTAAATATTTGCTGCTCTCTTCCTCATCATAATCATCTCTACCACCCTTGTCATCTCCATCATCAACAGCATCATCACCTTTATCATTACCATAATCATCCTCATCATCTCCTCCATCTTCATCATTACCTCCATCATCATCACCTCTCATCATCCTCATCACCTCCACCATCATCACCATCTCCATCAGCAGTAAAATCGTTAGGATTAGGAATTTCCAGTTCTGCCTGTAGCTGCCATTGGCTGGATGAGACTCTTGGACCATGTTTTCTCCCTGTACCATGAGAGTTACTGGCTACCAGCAGTGACTTTCAAATTTTTCATGGTCTCGAAATCCTTTGTTCAAATGCAAAAATAAACGAAGCAGA